GCTCCTGTCGTCTAGACGTGGAGTTGCGAGATGCGAGGGAAGCCGCCCCTTGCCCCACCACCTTGTCGCTTGTGTGTGCGCGCGTGGTATAGGGAGAGAAGTTTTTACCTTACGCTCTACCCTCCTTACCTTATCCCAAAACTAGTGAGACACGCACGGGTGTCGGTGGTAGCGAGTGAGCCGCGCGCGCGCGCAGCGCGGCGCGGCTCGGTGGGAGTCGTGATTTGTCGCACAAGGGATTCGATCAACGCCCGCGCGAACAGCCGTGCAGCGTCCAAAACCTATACCCGGTGCTAATTATCGGCCACGCTCTCCCCGTTCGAGCACGGACAATTCGTCTCCCTCCTCCCCTCCGGCGGTCTCCGCCCTCGCATCGGACGCCCGCTGCTGCTTGGCGAAGTATCCGCGTTTGAGCTGTGACAGCCCGCGCAGTAGCGACTCCTGCTCTGCCTTCATCGTGGTGACCTGTTGTCGGTTCGAGTGCAGCTCGGCCGCCATCGACTTTAGCTGCTTCTGCTTCTCCGCCAGATTCTCCTGGTACGCCTTGAGCTGCTCCGCCACCTCCGGACCCGGCTGCCTGGCAAGGATGGCCTTGAGCTCCACATAGAGCCTCTCCTTTTGTTGGATCAGCTGGTCCCGCTGCGCAACCTCCTCCGTCCGCCGGAGCAGCTGCTTTTGCAATGCATGCGTCCGCTTAATCAGGCTATAGGTGTGTGGGTCGGTGCCCTCGAGCTCGCGCCATCGGTGCACGTTCATCTGGTTGTCGAGCTCCTCGGTGAGCGCACGCGCTCGTGCCCGCGCCTGCAGCAGCTCACGTGAGACCGAGACCACCTAAGATAGAGTAAGCCGCGGTGACACACAGAGAGGGGGAGGTATTATTACTGTCAGTAAGGTGCTTATTTGTCTCAGAAGTCCAAGGAAAGAAAAAAGAAGTCTCATATAACGATTATCGTATAAAAACATACATCCCAACTTCCTCAAAAAATATAGCCCCGGGGGAGCAAACGGGCGCGGAGTACGCCTTTCACGACAGAAGAGGGAGTGAGGGAGAGGGGAGAGAGAGAGAGGGAAGAGGAAGGGAGCACAGATTTATGAGCGCGCCGTAATTATAAGTTGTCATCGCGATTGTCATCGCGAATCGTCGTCGTATACTAGCCCATTGCCGGCAAACAAGCGAGGGCGAGCGCGCTGCATTGGCCGGGCATATTGGGGCAACGGAGATATGGGAGGCAGCCCTGGGGGTGGTGGTGCAGGCGGGGGTAGCGGTGGCGGAGACGGCGGGGGTGGCGACGGAAGTGGCGTTATGGGCGGTGGTGGCGATGGGGGCGGGGGTGAGGGTGGCGACGGGTTCGCTGGCGGCGCTGGTGGTGGCAGTGGAGGCGGCGAGGGTGGCGGCGGTGACGGCTGCGGGGCGATCGGAGGCGGCGGCGATGGTGGTGGCG